TCTAATCTCCAAGCTGTTGCATGTGCTACTTCCTCTTCCAGGATTAATGCCAACCCCGCTCCCATTCTTGACTGGAAAATCCCCCCTCATCCTTCCAGATGAGGTTCAGGAAAGTATTCTCTTTCTCCACCTCCTACCCACAGCTCAAGTGGTCCTGAAGCACCATGCAATTATTTTTATCATTGCATTGATCTGCCTGGATTATACCTTTTACGTCTTTGTCTTTACCATTAGATTGTAAGACCACGAGTTGAGAGCAGGGTCCCCCAAATTATTCATTGTTCCACCCTCAGATGAGTAGTGTTGAAGTGTTAACAGTGTATTGAAGTCTTATCAGCAAAGGGAACGATGCCATTTCCAATGAAGTTGCCATGGGTGTTGTGTGGAGCCCCAAATCGCACCACAAAACCATTCACCCTCCTCCCTCTTCCCCCCAGTATCCCAGCCACAACAAAATAGCACGATGACTTACTTCCTTGGGATACTCCCAGCAGTTGGAGCATTTCAATAAACCAACAATAAAAGTGGGAGAGGGAAATGTAGGCCCCTCAGAAGAGAAAGATTGGAATTGGAGTTGGTAAAAGGCTGTGAATGCTTTCAAAGCTGGTAATGATTGGGAATTTTGTGTTTCCACATAGACCTTGCCTGCCTCCAGAATACTAACAGGGAGGGACGGACATAGAGTCAAAGTGATTTGGAGGTGATAGGAGACTTGGATTAATTTGATTGAGAAAGGGCTTTGAATTTTTATATTCTGTCTTTAAACATAGGGGTCTTGAATGGTATTGGGGGGTACAGGTACCTTTATGCACATGTGTGTTCTCTCTCAATCTGTCGCTCTCTCTCTCTCTCCACACACACACACACACACACACACACGCATGCATGCACGCACACACGCATGCACGCGCGCGTGCACACACACACGCACGCATGCACACACTTCTGTATGCAAGCACTGATTATTTTTTAAAAACTTGATTACACTCTCATGCTTCCCCAAGAAAGGAGACAGGTAGAAAAGAGACCTATAATCTTTTTTTTCCCCCTGGAACTCAGAAGGATTTAGGCATTCCAGAGTCTCCTATTTGTCTGAATCAAACCAAATGTCTCCATTCCAAGTCTCAGGGTCCCATTCTTTCCCATTCATGCCCTAACTTTCATCTAAGAACCCTGGGGAAACTGTGAATTCTACCAACATTATAATCCTGCAGCCACAGGATCAAAGTTTGGGTCTGAATTTCAATTATATTAGTCCTGCAGCTATAATAAGTAAAAAAATATTTTAGAGCCATAGCAGAAGCTCTCAGCTTCGCTGCTTGTGCCTAGAACTTAGTTTAGATCTCTGAGCTTGTAATTTTCTTTTAACAAACCCTCTAGTACAGTCAAAAGCAGTCAACCCATCTCAAAATCCTTGTAGTCACAATTCCTACCATAAAAGCCTATCTCAGCAGGAATCTGGTCTCCCAAAGACTTGCCTTCAATAGGCACTTCATCCCAGGTATTCACAGGTGATAGTTTAAGTAACTCTTTTGCTGTTGCATGCCCTGGACTAGTAGTTATTGGGAGAGGCAATCCACCAGGGGCCCCAAGTGTCCCAGTACGTCCTTGTTGAATGTGTCGAACTGCAAGGCCTAACCATGCTCTTACCTTGAATCATTTCTGTATCTAGTCACAAAGGCAATTTAAGTAGGTCAAGGTGACCACAATGTGACTACTATACAACTAATCACTCCTCAGGGGAAAGAGACTGGCTTGTTGTCTGCTTGCTATAAGAGGTTCTGAGCCCCTGGCCCAGGGTTCCTCAGTGACAGCGTAACCTCATTGCATGTGTAGACACCATCTTGGCCCATTGCATTGCCCCATGGGGCTGTAGGGCAAGAAAACCAGCTGTACCACGCTATTGCTCCTGCTGTTTGCAGTGCTATGAAATAAACCGTCTTTCTCTGATCCACTTAGTCTTGCTGTTTACTTTCAGCACCTATGGAGTGTGGCAAGCCAACTTGGAGTCCTGTTACTCTGTGCCATCTTCCATGAGGTTGGAGTTGTTCCATGACACAGTATCCCATTTTCCACTGGCAATGAGGTCATTGCAAGCCCAATCAGGTCATATAACAATCCCAGATTCCCATCTCTGTGGGGCGGTTTCCCATGACCACTTTCCATATAACTACTATTGGGTTGTCGGAAAAGTCATGACATATTTTTTCTTTGTTTTTTATTGCAAAAATGCATCATGACTTTTCCGACAACCCAATATGTCAACCAGTGTCCTGTCGGAAACACAAATCATTCTAGATCTGTGCTGTGTAGTACAGTAGTCATTAACCACATGTGATTATTCACATTTCAATTATTACAATTAAACAAAATTAAAAATTCAGTTCCTTTGTCACACTAGCCACATTTCAAGAGCTCAGTAGCCACGTATGGCTGGTAGATACTATATTGGTCAGCACAGTTAAGCCATTTCTATTATCCGAAAACATTCTGTGGGACAGCACTACTTTAGATCATTTCAAGCAGAAAGCGATTTAAACTAGGAAATTGTCTACAGAGATGTTGTGCACATGGGAGAAGCCCAAGGAAGAAAGGCTTAGAAGGGTTAGAAGAGAAAAAGGGAGATCAGGTGCTGCCACCACTGGGTGAAGCCAGACCACAGCAGGCACTGCTCTATTAGGGTGCTGCTGCTGAGGAGGAACCCAAGAGCCTGTGCTTGGTGGTGGTGTGGTGGTGGTGGTGGTGGTGGTGGTGGTGGTGGTGCTGCTGCTGCTGCTGCTGCTTTTGCTGCTGCTGCTACTGGACAAAAAGCAGGACAAAACAATGGCTTCTGCCCTCCGCATGTTTTTCACTCTCCTGCCAACACCACCCATCTGGCAAAGGAGTCTACAAGAATAGAATTTGCAAGTTGCCCTACTTCCTCTAATACCAAAGAGAGCAAAAGAGAGTGGGAATGTATCTTATAACAAACAACTGCAGAATAGGGATTTGATATATAATAATAGTACTAGGAAGTGCCAAGGCTCCCACCCTGCAGCTTACTTCCATTCCCTTATTTCTAGCAATTGTCCCCTGCCTTATATGTTCCAGCCACATGGAATTGCTTTCAATTCTGCTCTAAAGTCTTACGATATTGCTCCTTCTTAGATCTGGCATATACTGTTCTCTCTGCTTGGAACACTCTTTTCTTTGCTCTTCACATAGCTGGCTAGTCTCATCCTTCAGATATCAGGTCAGATGTCACCTCCTCAGAGAGACCTTCTGTGTGGCCTTGCCAACCTGCCTAAAATAGCCTCATCACTGCCCCCGCTCTCCTCCCCGACCCCCATCTCCCACTTCCCACCCTGGACATTTTCCATCATGCCACCCTTTTTATCTTATAGGCCTTATATCTATTGAAAATTATCTTCTGTGTTTATTTTCTGTCTCCCTTCACTAGACCGTAAGCACCAGGAAGGCAGGAGCCTTGTCTATGTTGCCCAGTACTGTGTTCTCAGCATTTGGAACAGTACCTGGCAATTAAGAGGCACTCTTAAGAGTAAATATATGCTGTCTAAATGAATAATTATTTTATTTTATTTTATTCAGGAACAGCCATGGTCATTGGTTACACACTGCTTTCATACTACAATGGCATAGTTGACTCTTTTAAGGAGGGCACAGCTCACAGTGGCCCATGCAGGGATCCAACTAGCAACCTTGGTGTTATCATCATGATGCTCTAACCAACTGAGCTAACCAGTCACCCCTAAATGAATAATTTCTATCCATTGTTTAGGTCTGAAATATTTCCTGTCTCTCTAGCTGGGTGAGCTGTTTCTACTGTGGGTTCCCATAGAACCTATACTTCTTCCATTGTAACACATAAAACAACTGTAATTACTTATAGCTGATCCCTTGCTAAACTATAAACCCAGCAAAAACAGAGATATGTCTATCTTGTTCACAGTTGAGTCGCCAGTGCCTAGCACAGTGCCTACGATATAGCTGGACATGAAAAATTACCTGATGGATTTGGTCATCACATGGTTTACCAAATAATTTGGAAGAAGATTCAGTGATGGGCATAAGCAACAGAAAACAAGGCAATTCTTAACTCAAGGAAAAACTAAACTCTTACCAAGAATAGAAATCTAATCACAAAGCCCTACACAGCTTGGCTGTGAATAATATTTACATAGTCACAATCAGGGTCAACAGGATGGTATCTGTTCTATTAGACTGTATTAGTTGTTAAAATGTTGAAATTATTCTATGCTGCTTAGTAAATAGTAGCTACCCCAAGTTCCCTGAGTACAACTGCTCCAGCTGCCCCTGCTCCCTTTCTTAGAATTCCCGGCACTTTCCCAGGATCCAATAATACCTGGCATAGCCAGGGGCTCCAGGATCTTGCTCAAGAAGCCAGCATCTGTTTGGATCAGTGAGTGCCTGTGCCAATCAACAGCATCCAGCCCCTCCTGGGCATAGCCAGAGGCTTTTCTAGAGCTTTTTCTAGAGGCTTACCTCTGCCCTGCTTGCTACACTCGCTTGGGCCCACAGCGACCTGCATGGGAACCATCAGGAACTGTTCTGGTGCCCACCAGCCTGCCAGCCAAGGCCCACCTGTCCCACCTCCTACACATCAGCCCCGGTCCCTCAGTGTTCCAGCAGGCTCAGACCTCACCAGGAAGGACAGCAGTGCTGGAGGGGAGGCGGGCATCTAAGAGGGCAAAATATTTTTAATAGTACTCCTGGTCATAACAGGTAAAATTACAGAATGATTTAACCAAAACTTGTGGTATAATTATATTGAAGGATGGGGCGGGGAAGTGGTGTTAGAGCAATCTTCCATTGTTCAGTCAGTAGACAATTTCTGACCTTAAAAATCAAGAACAATAGGGGAGCTTTTGAGATCTTGCTCCTTGGTATATGTTGTCAGTTTGGTTCAAATGAACTCTTATAAAAATTCAAAAAAAAAAACCAAAAACAACAGTATAGGTATATTATTTTGATATAAGAAGTAAATACCAAAAGAAGCAATTGAAAGAGTTGAAAGTGGCTAGTTGCCTCTGAGGAGCAAGGCTTGAGGTGGGAACAGGTGAAACAGGAATTTATTGTTATTTATTAAAAGCCTTAGAGAAAAATTTGACTTTTGAACCATGTACATATTACTCCTTTTCTTTTTTAGGAGGTTATTGCAGGAATCTCGATGCAATATGATGGCCAATGGTGATGGTAATGAATCAGAGATAAGTGGATTCGAGAATATTCGGGCTGTGAATTGATATAACTTGGTAATTTCATGATGCAAAGAGGGAGGGAGGGTGAGAGGGTAGAGAATCGCAAAGATTTGGGTGTGTAGTTGGATCAAGGGATGACTGTTTCTGTATGGGCGCTTGGATACCAAGGGTCCCTTCAGGCACCACACATGGCAAGAGTGACTAACTCTGCTTGGGAGAACCGGACAAGTTCTAAGAGAAACAGCATCTGAGCTGGGTCTTGAAAAGAGTATATAAGTTCCAAGTTTCACAAAGGGTGAGCTCTAAGGTGTGTTAAGGGGAGGATATTTTCCCACAAGGGTGATGGAAAATAACAGGAAGTACAAAGGCACAAAACATGGGAGCATCATTTTGAGGGGGAAATAGTGAATTGTCCCATGCAGTTACATTGTGGGAGGTATATTGGGAGAAAATGGCAGCAAACAAAGCAGGTACAAGAGATTGCGGCCAGAGCCCAAGAGCCTGTAATGTAGTCCAAGTGGTCCTCTCCCTCAAGCTGGTGGCAGAATAGCAGGTACAAACCTCTGAAAGAACAATTGGAAATACACATCAGAAGCCATTAAAATGTTTCTGACCTCTGTCTTAGTGATCCTGTTTCTGGGATTATTCCTAAGGAAATGTTTTATTTAAAGGTGAAGTGAGAAATATACATTAAGGTATTTATTATATCATTATTGGAAATAGTGAAAAACTGGAAAATGAAATACAAATTCAAAAACCAACATTTGGGGCCAGCCAAGTGGCTCAGTTGGTTAAGACCACGAGCTCTGAGCAACAGCGTCACCGATTTGATTCCCACATGGGCCAGCGAGCTGCGCCCAAGCTGAGCTGCCGCTGAGCTGCCAACAGTGGCAGGATGGCTCAGCTGGTGAGAGCATGTGCTCCTAACAACAAGATTGCCAGTTCGACTCCTGAATGGGATGGTGGGCTATGCCCACCCACAACTAAGATTGAACATGGCACCTAGGGCTGAGCAGCCTCAAGCTGCCGCTGGGCAGCCGGATGGTGACTGGATTTGGAGCTGAGCTAGCTGCGCCCTCCACTGTCACCTTGTAGCTGCCGATTCAAATGCTCCCACACACTGATCCTTTGAAGTCATAAGGGAAAGGGAGTGTCTCAGAATAATCTTGGTAAAGCTTCCTTATCTGATGATCTGGGAATGCTGAGTCCATCCATAGGGATCGTATGTATGTGTGAAAACACAACTTGTGTTTGAACACAATGAGTTTTGATGAAGCAGTTGCCAGATACATGAATCAACTAACTGGGATGAGATATCCAAATTTACTTTGTGGCAGTGGGGAATAAAAGCTTTGCACCCGCCAGATTCGGGGCTCACTCCACAGAGGCTTGAGACCCCTGGCCTGCAGAAACTCAATACTTGGCTCTTGTATTTCTTAACACTTTGCCGCCCCTCCTTGGGCTCCCCAGCCCCCGTCGTGCAGGAACGCAACCCTCCACAACTAAGATTAAAGGGCAACAACTTGGCTGTTCCCCTTCCCCAATGCCCCAACAAAAATCTTTAAAAAACAAACAAACAAACAAAAAAACCCCCAACATTTGCATCAGAGGAGAATACTTAAGTAAAAGATGGTGCATTCATCCAATGAATAATAAATATGCAGACTGGTGTGCCTGTCAGAAGTTAAGTGGGCTCACCCAGGAGGCCTGCTGGGCCCAGGAGAGAGGAGAAGGTCCAATGTGGGCAAGAAAGGAAAAGTGGATGCAGAGTGGATCCTAGGCTGGGCCCAGCAAGGGCATGGGAAGGGGAGCTACCATGTATTTATTGGACATTTCCCTTTTGGTATCTGATTTAATCCTCACAGCAATCCCATGTGGGTAGTACTAATACCACCCCCATTTTACAGACAAGGAAGTACCTGAGGCTCCAAGAGATGGAGTGGTTTGCCCAGGGCCATCTACCTTCGAAATAGGGGAGCTGAGATTCCAACCCAAGTCTGTGTGAGGGCACAGCAGTCGGTGCTTTTCCTCTGCACCATGATGCCAATTGTCAATGGCAACCATGTTATCTATGAGGCGCCACTTTTATGTGGCCCTGGCATCTTTCTTCAGTCTTGGGGAAGCAGGCATGTCTGTGTGGATACCAGGGGTTAGCAGTTAATAGCAAAATAGCAAAATCTGCATGGTACAATGCTCAACAATAAAAATAGAATATATAATTGTATCCATGATCAAAGCGGCCAAAAAAAATTATGCTCACAGTCAATAGCAGGAAGGGGCAAGGAGAAATGGAAATAGACAATGTGTGAGTGGGTGCTCTCTTTCCTCTTTCTCTTATTTTTTGGGGGTTTCTGTTTTTTTTTCACTGCATTATTTGCACAAGAAAGAACAATTTATAATGGAAAGACTGAGAAAATATGATCCCCACGGGCTCACGGCTATGCCTTGAGTACAGCTGCAGCTCGCAGCCTTCCAAAGCCATTCTGACAGCAGTGCTCATAAAGAAGGGGGCTTCTTCTGGCCAAAGGATGGAGGGAAGGAGAGAAATGTAGCAGGTCTTTGTCATCATGCTCCAGATGTTGGTGTCATCGCTACATTCGTGTGAAGCTCTGACCTGGCTGGAGAGGTGTAGCTGTGACCTGCCCTTCCCAGCCCAGGCTGTTTTGCATCTGATGGTTGTTGACTGTTCTCTGCTCATTCATTGTTGGCTCTCCTGCTTGGGGCTTGGGTTCAGCCTTGCTAGAGGAAGAGCTAGTATGGGATTCTCTTTGATTGAGGGACAGAGGCCAAGGTGACCCCATCAGCAAAGAGAAGAGTGAAATAGCAACATCCATGCCTGGGTTTCAGAGCTGGAGCCCGCGATTTTTTCTTTGTTCACGCTCACGCACCATACCTCACTTGATTTTACACTCTATCAGTGGTTCTCAACCTTCCTAATGCTGCAACCCCTTAATACAGTTCCTCATGTTGTGGTGACCCCCAACCATAAAATTATTTTCGTTGCTACTCTATAACTGTCACTTTGCTACTGTTATGAATCGTAATGTAAATATCTTCTTGTTTTCCAATGGTCTTAGGCAACCCCTGTGAAAGGGTTGTTCGACCCCCAAAGGGGTCGCGACCCACAAGTTGAGAACTGCTGCCTAGATGATCATTCCTTTCAGGGTTCCATGCATTTGTCCATGCTGCTCCCTCACTCTAGAACGCTCTTTCTCGTGCTTCCAGACAGCGCTAAACCCTGCCCATTCTTTAATACCACTTTCTTGAGGAAACTTACTAATCTCCTCTGGCTCCCACAGTACTTGATTTGTATCTTTCTTATGGCAGTGTATTTTCCTGCAGTATGTTATAGTTATTTATGCCCATATCTGTTTCTGTTTCTTTCACTAACTGGTGAGCTTCTCAAGGTGGCCAGGGAACATGTCTTTTACAACTCTGATTCCCCACACAGTGTGCCCAACGTCTGGCCTGGGGTAGGCGCTCAATCAGTGTGTGGAATGACATTAAATTACAATGGCTGAGTTCCTCCTCTTTCTGTGTCATGGACTCTCTGGAAAAGCTGTTAAGATTGTAGGCAGATGACCAACTAGTTTTATGTCATTTCTTTCCTGCACATTTTGAAGGGGCAGGAAGAGGAAGAGAGTTAAATCTAGCTGTGGATCCATATTCCAGAGATTTTGGCCAGGGGTCCGTAAAGGGTGTAATAATATGAATAATAACTAACATGTGCAGAGACTCTTACACTTTCACACACATTAACTCTGCTGGGTCTCACAAGGCCTCTAGGAAGCAGGCTGGGTGGGCAGTAGTACTTGGCTTGTCCCAATGTTACAGTCGAGGAAACCAAGGCTCAGAAAAATGAAGTGATTTGCTCAAGATTACATCAACTCTAAGTAGAGCTGGGACTCAAACCCAGATCTGTGGACTCCAAATCCCATGCTTTGGGGATTGCAGAGGTGACAAGAACACATGCTCTCCCTTCCCTTAATAAACTTTTGCAGAACGAAGGAAGGAAATTTATGGTTTAACCCTTGATAAGTTGTACTTGCCTCAGGCCCCACATGTTACTCCCGGGGGTGTCTATCTGCTGCTCATTTCAGGGTTGAACTCTTCAAGGATAGGGACCATCCTTTCTCCTTTATTTCCCTCCTCAAAGTTGAGGTGTCTAGCAAGCCCCACACTTTTGCTGGATCTTGGTTTCCATGTCTGTGAAATGAGGAGGCCAAGCTAGAAGTTTAAATTGGGTCACATTCCCGCCAGCACCCAGCACAGAGGCTGGACCACATTTTCCATTGCCCTCCCAGTGGACGACTCCCAGCTCCAACACTAGAGGCCTCCAGGACTCCAGCTGACATGATGGAGTGTATACCATGCACGTTGCAGCCTCTTCCCAGGCTGGTTGCGGAAACTGAGCCTCCTCCAGACAGCAGGGCTGCTCCACTCACACGGATCAGGTTGGGAGCCTCATTAGTCATGTCAGATGACATAGTTAACACTTGGGGCTTGCACAGCCAGTTCATCAAAAGCTCCTATGTGCCTGGCTCCACGGCTGCAGCTGAGGAACTACTGTATGTGGAGCAGGCAGCACATCAGAGGGGGCAGCGCCAGAGTGCTTCCAAATTGGTTTTGATGAATTGCATAGACATGTCTTTAATTGGTGCCAGGGTAGCGGCCAGAGAACTTATGGGAAAGCAGGATGTTATGCTTTCATTCCCTGAAGTCCCATAAAGCATGAAAGATGAGGAACAGGATCACTGCTCGTTGAAAATTTATCGACCATGCAGACCCAGAAAACACAAATAACTATCTGAATCGAAACCTAACCTCATTTTCCCAACTCTTTGGAAGCCATGCATGTTCCCCTCTGTGCCCTGGTCTCCAGCCTGCTGAGATGTATAAGTGAGCAAAAGGTGTAATTTCTAAGAAGTGAGCGCCTTACTGTGGAGACTGCACACTCAGCTTTCCCAAATGGGTGCGGCGGTATCTGGGAAGGCCCCTCCCCTCAGACACATCTCTCCCTCCAGCGCATCCCCCTCCCGTGAACTGATACCAGAGGCTGGTTCACTTTGGGTGAAGCATTCATTTAGACATTCATACTTTCTTGTCCACCCCTTGGAGATTTAAGACACATGTATTGAGTGTGTACAAATAGAAAGCACTGTTCTGGTATCATGGGGAATACAGAACGGAGTCAAGTACAGACCCATCCCTCTGGGAATGGCTATCTAGAAGAAAAGAAGACAGTTCCACAGATGAACTAATGGATGATGGATGCATCGCCTAGCATTGGGATTTGGCATCATGAGAATTTGGGTTCAAATCTCAGCTCTGATTCTTATTACTGAGCCACCGCAGAAGTCACTTTGATTCTCCGAGCTTTACCTACAGACTAGGATAATGATACTTACTGCACAGGGCAGTCCTGAGGCTGTAAGAGTTAGCAGAGTTACAAGTACCCCACACGGGACCTAGCACTGATCAAGAAATGGTTGCTAATTCTGAATCAGCGTCACCAGGGAGGCTCCCATTGAGTGCTATGTGAGTTCATATATTCAAGGAACAAAAGTTTATCAGGCACAGACTCTGTGCCAGGCTCTGTGCCTTAGGAGCATGAGGGATGGAGATAGGAAGCTTTGCCCTGAGGTCCATTAAGGAGTAGCAATGCTATAGTATGATAATAATAGCAAATTGTTACAAGTGTGCTGACCGAAACCTACTCAAAGGCAATGCAGAGGGGGAGAGACAGTGGTCACTTTTACCTGGAGAAATCAGGAGAGATTTGCCCGAAGGGAAGGTGCTTGAGCCAAGTCCTAAAACACGAGAAAATGTTCATTTGCAGATAAAGCAAGAAAGCGTGTTCCATGCATAACACCATTTTCCTTCTTTTTGTTCCTAGAGCGAGCAAAGGTTATCTCCTAGGGTCTTGGAATCAGCTGCTCTCTTTGTATGGCAAGTTCTTGCCCTGGATTTTTCCAAAGCTCACTCCTTGACATTTATAACCTGATCATTTCTTATTTGTTCCTTGGTTTCTTGTGTGTCTCCTCCACTAGTATGACAGGCCCATGAGAACACGAGACCTTGGCTGTCTTTTTCTCCCCACTATTACATCATCTAGAACAGTGGGTCTCAACCTTCCTAATGCCGCGACCCCTTAATACAGTTCCTCATGTTGTGGTGACCCCCAACCATAAAATTATTTTCGTTGCTACTCTATAACTGTAATTTTGCTACTGTTATGAATCATAATGTAAATATCTGATATGCAGGATGTATTTTCATTGTTATAAATTGAACATAATTAAAGCATAATGATTAATCACAAAAACAATATGTAATTATATATTGTGAAATATTTATTTCTAATTACAAATAAATGAAATTTTGTCTTGAAGCATGGAGACGGATAGAGGAGCAGTGTCTCGGTTCCTAAGACCATCGAAAATATGTGTTTTCCGATGGTCTTAGGTGACCCCTGTGAAAGGGTCATTTGACCCCCAAAGGGGTCGCGACCCGCAGGTTGAGAACCGCTGATCCAGAACATGGCAAGGCGTAGTGTAGGTGTTCAATATATGTTGCATGAATGAATGAATGAATAAATAAAATAAATAAACAAACAAATAAATAAATAAAAACAGGAGGCACGGGGGCATGCTTCAATCAAAGAACTATAACCCCACTGCCTGGTACACAGAGGGCACTGAATTTTTTTTCTCATAAAATTGGACAATGAGGAATGCCTGACGCATAGGTCAGAGGAGTTGAGCTGTAGGGGTCATAGAAGAGGTGGCCTCTGAGCTGCACCCTGAAGGCAGCGAAGAATGACCATGTGATAAGGACATTAAGGAGGGGGTCAGGATTAAATCAGATCACTTCTAAATCCTTTCCAAACCTGAGCTTCTCAGGATTTCTCTCAAACAAATCATGTCTTCCCACCCATCCTGGTCCCCTTACTCACACCCCTCTTTTCCACTCCACCCTGTCTGGAGGCTGTAAGGACATCTGACACGCCATTTCCTGCCCGTGTAAATCATGGCCTGTTGTGTGATGTCCATTCTCGGGTTTTACCATCCCCCTGGTGGAGATAGCCCCATAGCTCACAGTGGAGGCTCCAGGCAAAGCCAGCCTTTCCACAGGATGGCAAATAAGGGGGAATTGTTTACCCACCAGCACCTTTCTGGCCCTGCTCCCAGATAATTTTATGTCCTCTGGTCTTGGATCTGCTCCTTAGCTGATGCATCTCACTTCACTTGCTGGAGCACTGATGTGTGACTGTTTAACTGCTGCTGCTTCCTGTCCCAGGGATCCTGGGCTTTGGGGAGCATGGGAAAGAGAAAAGAAAGAGAGCTTTATATGAGGTAAACTCTGACAGTAATAACAAAGGCTCAAAACTAACTTCCACTTGCACAGTGCTTAACAATTTACAAAGTCATATAGAACTCCTATTCATCCTTTAAGATCCTGCATAAATGTTGCCTCTTCACCAACCTTCAACTCTCCCAGGAAGAGCTATCTTTTCCTCCACACTTTGTAAAACCTCCGCTAGAGCCCTTATTACCTTTTAATAAATTTATTTGCGTAAGTGTCTCACTTCTTCCATTAAACCAACAGCTTCTTGGGGGCAGATCTCTTCTCTTCCAGTAAAACATGTTTCTTTCTTTCTTAAAAAGTAATTTCATTACATGTATTTTTCTAATTATAAAAGTAATATTTATAGTTACTGTAATAAAAAATTGGATGAAGTATAATGAAGAAAAATTTAAATCACCTATAATTTCATTACCCAGATAAAGTGAGTGATAACATTTTGAGTCCATCTTGGGCTTTTTTTTAGCATATGGAAAATGAAAATGGAACAATATAATGCATGTAGTTTTTACAGTCTGATTTTATCACCTAATCTATTGTGAACAACTTCAAACATCATTAACAATTCTTCAAAAACACCATTTTAAATGACTGTATTATTTCATTTAATTGTGAGACTTGGGTTATTTACTTCTTTTTACTATTTTACAAATAAAATGAGTAGCTGTATACATAAATCTTTGCCCGCCTCTTTGACTATTTCCCTAAGAAAGATTGGAATTTCAATCCCAAGACTGGAATTTCTAGGTCAACTGATTTAAACTCTGTAAAGGTTTTTGACGCTCACTGCCAAATTGCCCTTAAAAAGTGATACCAATTTACAGCTCCGCCAAAGCATGAGTGGGCCCATCTCACAGTGTCCTGCCCTGCATTAAATATTATCCCATTGATATCTTTACCAAGTCCAGTGTTCTTTTCACAATGCCTCTCAAGGTGAGTCATTTTTCTTAATCAGAAGAAAGCATACAACCAAACTTACAGTTGTCTTCTTCCAAGATATCGACCTGAGAGGATATATTTATTTCAACAGTACTTCTGCTACTTTAAACATTTCTAAAATTTTGATTTGAAAATTGCCTGCAGAGCATTCAACCCATTCTTTTGCATCTAAATTACAATACAATTCTGTCTTTGGGGAATGATTTTTTTTTATTTTTGGCAACAGTCAAAAGCCATTTGGAACTCATGGTAAATGAGATGAGCTGCAGCTGGGTTTGGGGTAAGAAATGAGGTGTAATTTTACAGTGATGGGATTGAGGTCTTTTCATGACTTGCAAAGAAAAGTCCCACAGGAGTTCTGGGCAGTTGTGGTATCATCAGAACAAGTGCCAAGTCTCCCAGCGTGACCATTCCAGTGACTACACTCAGGTGGAGGCATGAGTCTAGCACATGTAATTATGGAAGCTCTTCTCATGACTTCATCGTTACTCTGTGTATAGCCCCAGGGACAGGTGTCAGCTTATTTCAGAGTTGATCCCTTTCCACCTTCTCTCTTCATCAAGCCCACTTGGGTCTGATGTGATTCCACAACTAAGGCCTAAGAGAGCCAGTTTAAGGGGAGGGTGGGGCATGGCGTGGCAATGGAAAGAGCCCTCAGACTGCAGTCAAAAAGAGCTGGGTCTGAGGCCTGGCTTTGCCTTTTAACAGCTGTGTGTGAGGCCTCCTTTGTAGAGCATCCTACTCCACAGGATTGTCAGGAGAAATGGAGAACACATATAACCACACACAGATACACACACACACACACACACATAGGCACACACACACAGGCACATAAAATAGCTAACGTGTGTTGAGCACTTACTCTGTGCTAAGTATTATGCTTTATATGCATGTGTCAGACTCCACTGGTTGGCCACCCAGAAGCCATTTCTCCCTTGCTGCCTTCCAGCACAGCTCCCTTGTAATTAGGGTGACCGGGTAGCCCAGTTCTAGCCAATGAGATTTAGGTATAACTCTGCTGGGAGTTACTGGGAGAGCTCTTGCTTTCCTGATGAAACAGGACTGCTTAGTCTGAACTGTCCTCCCACCCTGGCCTTGTCCTGCCTTGAACTTGGATGTGATCACTGGGCATCACAGCCATCCTTTAATCAAGATGGAAAGGACAAAGGGGCATATCTGGAATTCTTGATATGTCAGAAAATAGTTACCGTATTTGCCGGCGTATAAGACGATTTTTTGGCCCTGAAAAATATGCCTCCAAGTGGGGGGTCGTCTTATACGCCAGGTACACTTCAGATAGACTGCCCATAGTGCTTGCCCCGTGCCATAGTGGCCTCCCGATGCCCTCCCACTTCATTCCACAAACCGTTCAGGCATCAGCAGCGCTGCTGGGTGTATGCTCGGCTGTTATGCGATTTTGCTGTTATGCGATTTTATCACACTCGCAAAATCGCACACAGCCGACCATATAACAAACTCTGTATTTTGAGTGGAAATGTTAGGGGGTCGTCTTATACGCCGAGTCGTCTTATACGCCGGCAAATACGGTACCTATTTGTTTAAGCCATGGTTAGTTATCATTACTTGAAGCTAAAAATATTCCAATACACATGCACACAAAGTATCCACACATAATAGATGCTCAATAAAGAATTTCTGGGGCTGGCCAAGTGGTGCGATGGTTAAAAACTGGCTTGGGATGCCAGAGGGCCTTGGTTCGGATCCCACATATGAGGGCCGGTGACACTGCCCTCTGCAGCTAAGATGCTGAACAACAGCTCAACCTGGAGCTGGGCTGCCGTGAGTCGCCGGCGACGGCGTAGGCTGCAGCCCCTGTGGCAGTGGGTTGCCATGGGCTACCGTGTGTAGCCAGCAGCCAGTGTGAGCGGCCAGCAGCCGCAGTAAGCGGCCGTCCAGAAGCCGGCGACTGATCTGCCTCACCTGGGAAGAGCACAATGATGGTGCTAACTTGGGCCAGTGAAGCAACGTCCTCCACAACTAGACTGAAGAACAAAATGACAGCAACTTGTCTGTTCCCCTTCCCCCAATTTCCCAGCGTTGTTCCCATCCCCCCAATTCCCCAATAAAATCTTAAAAAAAAAAATTTCTGTTTACACTCACATTCACATACAATTCCTCCCTCTAAAGAACTAATGATATTAATGATGGTTATCTTATATTTATGCAGCCCTTGGCAGTTTTTAAAAGATTTTAACATCCATTTTGTCATTTGACCCTCACAACTCTGTAAGGAAGGCAACTTTTATCCTGAGACTCTTTTTAATTACAAAAGGATACATAAAAAATATTTTAGAATGCTTATATGTTACAAGCGCACCTCATTAAGGTCCCTGTACTGTAAATACTTGAAATGTCTTCTTTTCCCTCAGACATGAACTGATCCCCATCAGTCCACCCACCTTTGCAGGGCACCCACTCAGGGCCAGGCTCCATGCAAGATTCACTGGGCAAGAGGTGCCTGCAGGCTAAGGAGTGAAGTAAAAAAGCCTCAGAATATGGCAGTCTCTGCTGAGATATCCCCAAGCCCCGCAAAACTTACAGGTAAATCCTGTCGTGGCCTAGGCTTCCTCCTTCTTCCAGAAGAAAATCAAAAACAATGTGCAGGACACTTGGTATGTCCTCTTCACTGGCTACTGCACAAGCGAGCTTGGGGATGCTTCTGGATGGTGCAGAAATGCCTGTTGGCTTTCACATCTTCTCAGCCAAGTGCTCCTACCAGCGGCTCTCAGGTTCAGGCTTCCACGGCTTGCTTTCTACTCCCTCGCCTTCTCTCCCAAACAGCTTTACCTAGTAGAAGGAGAACTCTTTTTCAGAGTACAGTAATACCTTGGTATGCGAGCATAATTTGTTCCAGAAACAAACTACTCGTATTGCAAGACATCGCTCGTTTACCACGTTAAAATGTATTAGAAATGTTTGCTCGTCTTGCAGAACACTCGCAAACCACATTACTCGCAATCCAAGGTTTTACTGTATTTGCTTCAGCAAAAGGCCAGGAATGAATTGTCCATAAAGGCTAACAATGGAGAAAAGCTAGAGGTACCGACTACCTTCGAGGTACCTAAATATCTTGCATGGATTTTGTAGGCAAAGACTGAACACAAAACCTATTTAAATCTTTATTGCTTTGGCAATTTAGACAACCGTTCTGAGCTTCAGTTTCTTATCTATACAATGGAGACAATAAATGTCTTTCTCACAGAGTTATTGTTTCTAATCTGGCAACTTCCAGAAACATGACCAACTATGCTAGTGCAGATGGGTCTCCCATGCCACTTCCTGCTATAGACCCAAAGAGATGCTGGATGAACTGTAACCGAAATGTTATATTTTTATTGCCAAATTTGAAAACTATAAAGAGGTATCTCCAGATGTCAGAAATGAAAAAGAAATAAAAAACAGAGTACAGGTGATATTCTTTAGCAGCACACAGGGATTTTACACTTAGCTAGAGAGCCTGAGAGATGTAGACCAGGGTTACACTGCACATTAAGGAATAGGAGATGGGACTTCAGTCCCAGCCAGGTGAGGAAGCTTGCGCTAAGCCTCCTGCATAAAATCCTAACATTGGAAGCTCTACCCCCTTCTAGGAAAAGGAGACTGGAGAAACTGGACACCAGGGTTACAGAATTTGCAAGGAAGCTTGATGTCTAAAGAGGCTATGGGTAGGGGAAAATGGCACTCATGAGAAACAGAAACCCCAACTTCTGCTAAATGCATATGGGGTTTAAATGTTCTCTACCTGTATATGTAGGCACCTACTGAGATAACGTAACATAAAAACTGGTCCAGACCATTAAAATCCTTAAGTTAGGGCTGAAGTAAGACCTATTAAAATCCTTAAGTTAGGGCTGAAGTAAATTCAACTAGCTCTATAGGGATGCCTAACAATCCAGGACTTACAGAATCCACTAGAAAAAGCAATTTTTGATAAAGATGCTCACAAAAAGTAACAGACCACATGAGGAAAGAAATGACCAAAAGGGAGAGTCAACAAACACAACCAACTACACAACCAACTAGAGAGAAGAAGGGTCAAAATAGAATTGTCTGAAAGAGACTATGAATTAGGATGATTAAGAGAAGGACTAGAAACCATAATAAAAGAACAGAATAGTATTAGGAAAAAAGGATTAGGATATTTTTAAAGGAATCATATAGAACTTCCAGAATGAAAAACGTAGTTACTGAAATAAAAAACTCAAAGGATGAGTTAAATTACATATTAGATCTAGCTGAAGAGGGAGTTAGATAGAAGAGACATTGGAGGAAATCACCCAAAATGGAGTAGAGACAGAAAGAGCTAGAAAAGAGTTTAAAGAAGGATAAAAAAAGAAAGTCAAACATATGTCTAATAGGAGTTCCAGAAAGATTTAATAGGGGGAATGGTGGAAAATCGTTTTTTTTAAATATTGTAGCTGCATTAGTCAAGGTTCTCCAGAGAAACAGAACCAACTCATGAGTATGGAAAAAAAAATCTGTATCTTATATCTATACCATATATATGTATATGTAGACATATACATATACTTACTTATTTATTATAAGGAATTGGCTCACATGGTTATGGATGCTGACAAGACCCAAGATGTGCAGTTGGCAAGCTGGAGACCTAGGAGACCCGATGGTGTACTTCCAGTCTGAGTCCAAAGGCCTGAGAACCAGGAGAGCCAATGGTGTAAATTTGTAGTCTTAAAGCCAGCAGACACAAGACCCAAGAGGAGCTGATGTTTCCACCTGAGTCTGAAGGCAGGAAACGACTGATGTCCTAGCTTGAACAGCCAGGCAGGAGAAGTTCCTTTTTATTCCTGGGAGGGTCAAACTTTTTGTTCTATTCAGGCTTGATTGAATGAGAGACACCCATATTATGGGAACAACCTGCTATACTCTGTCTACTGATTCATATGTTAATCTCATCCAAAAACATCCTCACAGAGGCCAGCTGGGTGGCGCAGTTGGATAAGAGCACGAGCTCTGAGCAACAGGGTCACTGGTTGGATTCCCACTGGTTGGGCCCGTGAGCTGCACCTGAGCTGAGCTGCCTATGGGTGGCCAGATGGCTCAGCTGGTGAGAGCGCGTGCTCTTAACAACAAGGTTGCCAGTTCAACTCCAGCATGGGATGGTGGGCTGTCCCCCCCACCCCCCCACAACTAGATTGAAAGCGGGGCTAGACTTGGAGCTGAGCGTGTACCCTCCAGAACTAAGAATGAAGGACAACAACTTGACTTGGAGCTGAGGGGTCCTGGAAAAACACAATGTTCCTCTTCTCCAATTCCCCAACACTGTTCCCTTCCCCAATTTCCCGATAAAATCTTAAAAAAAAAAATCCTGGGCCATCTGAGTGGCACATTGGTTAGGAGTTGGCTTGGGACGCCAGCTCTGAGCAGCAGGGCCCAGGTTCAGATCCCACATGAGAGCCAGTGACACTGCACCCTCTACAGCTAAGATGGTGAACAACAGCTCAACCTGGAGCTGGGCTGCCGTGAGTCGCTGGCAGCGGCATATGCTGCAGTGGGGCTGGCCGGCAGCAGGCGTGAGTTTTTTTGAGTTGCCATGAGCCACCCTGAGTGGCCGTCCACTGGTCGGCAAACGGCTGCCTCACCCGGGAAGAGCACAATGATAATACCAACATGGGCCAATGAAGTGACGCCCTCCACAACTAGACTGAAGAACAAAAGGACAGCAACTTGTCTGTTCCCCTTCTCTGATTCCCCAATGCTGTTCCCCTCCCGCAATTCCCCAATTAAAAAAAAAAGTCCTCACAGACACATCTAGGATAATGTTTGACCAAATATCTGGGAACCCCATGGCCCAGTCAAGTTGACACCTAAAATCAGCCATCACAAAGGCTGATAATATCCCAGAATTGATGAAACATACCAAGACAGTCAATAAATAATTTTATAATGAGTCATACCTCAATGAAACTGCAAAACCGCAAGTCAAAGAGAAAAATATAAAAGCCCTTAGTGAAAAGGGACAGGTTACCAAAAGGGATGTTAACTACAATAACGGCAGCCTTTTCTCATCAGCCACAATGGAAGTCAAATGACAGGAGGATAGCATCTTCACAGTGAGGGAAGAAAATAAATCTCAGGTCAGAATTCTACACACAGTTAAATTTATAAATGAGAGCTGAATTTTCAGACAAGCAAAGACAATGGGTTTACCTCACTAAAACTCTTGCTGAAAGAACTGATAAGTATACTTCAGCAAGAAGAAAATTCAACGCAGGCAGAAGTGATATGTAAGGAGTGGAATGTAGGTGAGGTGCTAGAGCCAGCTCACATCAACCCAGACAGCCGGCTATTAAAATTACAGGAATTTTATGAACTGGTTGTTAAACGTGGTCATTATTAAAAATGAAATTATATGACCTTACAATTAAATGAATTGTTTAAAAAATAAAGGTAAAAAACCCTTGCCATGCATTACTTCTTAATTATTTTACTTTAATTTTGCTATTATTTATGCTCTTGAGGTTATTCATATCCTCTATATTTATATGGTAGAACTGCTATAGAATGATGTGCTACTGTGCATCTCTTCTGTATTTGGTATCACATTGGTAACTTGAGTATTTACCACCCAGAGATTAACAAATACTACAAAGCAGTTCTCCCCTACCCCTTACCCCCTACCGCTGATTGTTAAATACTTAGCAGCACACCACTGAATACAAGAAATTGGTTTCCACTCCTAGGTATATATCCAAGAGAACTGAAAACATATGTCCACCAAAAACTTGTAATGAATGTTCATAGCAGCGTTATGCATATTAGCTAAAAGGTGGACACAACCCAAATGCCCATCAAGTAATGAATAAATATATGTGCTATGTCCATACAGTGGGCTATTGTTCAGGCATAACAAGGAATAAAGTATGTGCTACAACATGGTGAATCTTGAAAACATTATGCTAAATAAAAAAAGCCAGACAGACACAAAAGACCATATATTGTATGATTACATTTATATGACATTTCCAAAATAGGTAAATCCATAGAGACAGAAAGTATTGGGTTGTCGGAAAAGTCATGACGTATTTTTTTCTGTTTTTCGTTGCAAAAATGTGTCATAACGTTTCCGACAACCCAATAGATTAGTAGTTGCCAGGAGGTGGAGGTAAAGGGGAATGGAGAGTGACTAGTAAGGGGTTTTCTTTGGGGATAATAAAAATGTTCTAAAATTAGTTGTGATGGCTGCATAATTTTGTGAATCTACAAGGATGATTGAATTGTATACTTTAAACAGGTGAATTTTATTGTATGGGAATTACATTTTAATAAAAAGAAAGGACTAAAGGAAGGTAAGCAAAGAAATTGGTATACAGGTTCATAAATCTAAATAAATACTGGCTGTTAAAACACCTAAGGGAGGGGTTAGTAGTTCAAAAGCAAGTTGGAACTAGGTGTGGCCAGTTAGCTCAGGTGGTTAGAGCACTATGCTCATAACACCAAGGTTGCCCTTCCGATCCCCACATGGGCCACTGAAATGCGCCCTCTACAACTACCTAGATTGAAACAATTACTTGACTTGAAGCTGATGGGTCCTGGAAAAAAACACTGTTCTCCAATTAAAAAAAAAAAAGTAAGTTGGAACTAAAATACTAAAACCCAAATTACTTGGAAGATAGAGGGGGTGGGGAGCAGAATTTAAGAATTTTAACACTTCTGAAATGAGTTAGAAATAGAGATTAAGAATGCTAAGTCAAGTATGCACATTAATAACGTAAGAACACCCACTAAAAGAACAAAATTAGAATGTATAATTTCCAGGCCACTAGTGAGAATATAAAGAAAATAACCAAATCAAAAGACAGCAAGATAAGAGAATAAAGAAAACACATGACAAATAGACAAAACAAAACAAGTGGGAAAATAGCCTCAATATGTCATAATAATAAGAAATATAAACATGTCTACAAAAAGATAAAGAGTCTCAGATTGGATTTTTAAAAACCCAGCTGTATATTGATTACAAGAATAAATTCATAAGATAATGACACAGAAATGATAAAAGAATGGGGAAAATATACTAGGCAATACTCTAAGTAAAATAATGCAATAATAACAGATTTGAAGGCAAAAAGCATTATTAGGATAGAGTCACGTACTTTAATGATAAAAGGATCAGTTCAGTAGTAAGATATATAACGACCCAGAAAATCTCTGTACCAACTGGAAACATTGCCTCCAACTATGTAAGACAGAAGTACAAGGACAAACGGACAAATTTACATAGTGGGAGACATTAACACATCTCCCTCAGCAGCTGATAGAGTAAGCTGACAAAATATTTATAAGGCTACAGAAGATTTGCACGACACAGCAATCAAGCTTTTATCTTTTCATCTTTCCATACTTATGTTCTTAGGCCTTGAAAGTTTCTCCTCCCTGTGGCTGTACACTGAGTCAGTTGCAGAGACTTACGATTGGTTTTGTACCTAAACTCTTTCATCCTGTAGCTAGTTCTTTGGCTTAGGTTTTAGTTGCCTCTTGCTTGGACCATTGTAATTGTCTCCTAATGGACCCTTCTATATTTATGGAGCATTGTTCAAATGACATGTGACTCAGTAGTTTCATTTTCATGCTATATGTTATATTTGGGATTAAGCCAGACCAAAGGTACTGCAATATTTCAGTCACAAGGGAATCACTCTTACTGACCTGAGCTCTGGTATGAAGCTATTGGCTACTTGGAGGGATAATGAAGACAAAATCCTGGGAAACTCCCTCTGGCTGGCATATTATTAAAGGCACATACAGTATCCTCTTAGGAGAAATCTTGTGGGGAAAATATTCTGAAACCTCTACTTCTCCTATACAACCAGTTTGTATATATTTTATGGACACTAAATCACATAACTGATATTTCCACTTTGCTAGGGTCACTAGGAAACTCACAGTCAAATTTGCTGGCTACTTTTAACAAGTATATAGAATAATAATAGCTACAATAGTTATATTTATTGAATGCTTGCTCTGAACCAAGCACTGTTCCAAATGCTCTACATGTATCGATGTATTTAACACCCATCTCATTACAATGAGATAGGACCAATATGATCCCCATTTTAAGATGAGGAAATTGAGGCCCAGAAAGTTTATGTAGATAGTAAATTGTATATAGCTAGTAAATGGAGAGTCAGAATTTGAACCCAGGCAGCCTGGTTTCATAATCCATACTCCTTTTTTTTTTTTTTAACTGAGCCATCCTGCCACCTGTTCGCAGCTCAGCGGCAGCTCTGCTCAGGCCGGGCATCGAACTGCTGTTGCTCAGAGCTCACATTCTTTTTTTTTTTTTTAAAGATTTTTACTGGGGAATTGGGGGATGGGAACAGACAAGTTGCTGTCCTTTTGTTCTTCAGTCTAGTTGTGGAGGACTGGCCCAAGTTGGCACCATCATTACGCTCTTCCCGGGCAAGGCAGATCAGTCACTGGCTTCTGGACGGCCGCTCACAGTGACTGCTGGCCGCTCACACTGGCTGCTGGCTACACACAGTAGCCCATGGCAACCCACTGCAGTAGGGGCTGCAGCCTATGCTGTCACCAGTGACTCACGGCAGCCCAGCTCCAGGTTGAGCTGTTGCTCAGCATCTTAGCTGTAGAGGGCAGTGTCACTGGCCCTCATATGTGGGATCCGAACCGGGGCCCTCTGGTGTCCCAAGCCAGCTCTTAACCAATGCGCCACTCGGCCGGCCCTATAAACCATACTCTTAATCACTATATGATATTACCTCTTTAAATCTTATGATACGCATGCTTGTGTGCTCATCATAGCCTCTGGCTTTATTAATTTCTAATGCTTATATTGTTGCTTCTGGCCACAATGCAGTAATAGGGACTGGATTTACTTTTCCACTTGAAGCAGCTAAAAATTTGGACAAAATATATGAAACATAGTTTTTAATACATTGGATATCAAACAACTAAAGACAGTGATCTACGACACAGAGAAAACAAGTGAGGTAAGCCCTATGATGTTTCTGCTTACCTCCTGGAGAGGGTTTCTAGGCTGTGGTGCTAAGAAAGTAAATCCAGACAGAACCCAATAGTTCCCCTGAGTTGAGGAGATGGAGCTAGGAATCTGGGGAAGTCAAGGTGGCAAGATTTCACAGGGAAGAATACCAAAGAGGAGAGTGCACAAAAAGAAAGCTCTGGCAATCTGCTGAGGGTCCCCCTCGAGTCTTCAGCAAAGAACCATCTATAAGGACTAGAAAGAATATTCTGAGATTGCACAGATCTAGTGTCTATTCCCAATATTCAGAGTGGCAAGACTTATTTCACAAGGCATCAGGTGAGCTTTGCCATAATAGTTGGGCAAAATTAGCCCTAGACTAATAGTGCTCTGGTCCCATCTAACAAAGCTCAAAAGTACTGGCTAAAAGCTATTTCCAAAAAGCCAAAGGACCCATACAGAAGGACCCATCTGAGGAGAAAAATCAGTCAACTGAAACTCACCAAGATAGGTAGACTGGAGAGATAAGGACATTAAAACAGTTATAACCACGTGACCAAGAAGCTAGAGAAAAGACTGAGCTTATTAAGTGGGAACATGGAACTATAAAAAAGACACAAATCCCAGAAGCAGCAAACATTCTCAGTGCCTGTATCTTGGTTTCTAAATACCATTTTCCAATAAGAGGAACCAAGGCTGTTTAGAGAAATGGCTGATTGCAGATCTGGAACAAGAAAAGTACAAGATGATGCAGGAGCATATTGTAGTACCAGAAAGTAAGAAAATGCTCAAAAAAACTAAAGGATGAGAACATGTCAAAGAGACACAGAAGCCAACTGGAAAGAGCATTCAGTGGCCAAATCTGGGACAATTTGAGCAACAAAATAAATAACATAGTATTGGACTATAACCCAAAATATAAAATAAATATACACGTGTCCAAACTGATATTAAATAAATAAAAACTCTCTCTTCCATACAGAAAAGTTTCAAATAATATAGATAGATACCTCTCTCTCCAAGAGTTGGAACTTCATCATTCCCCTCCCCTTGAGTACGGGCTAAACTTAACGGCTTGCTTCTAAAGAACAGTACAGAAAGAGAAAAATAGTAGCTTCACAGTAGGAAAATCTAGCAAAACTACCTTAACCAAGTGATTAAAGTTTACCTCACCACTGATGTCATGTGGCTATCTGTGCCCTCTAATTTGATGTAATAAGAAGGACATCTATGTTATTCTTTTCCGAAACCCTTAGCTCCAGTCTAATCATAAGAAGAGCATCAAACAAACCCAAAATTAAGGGGTAGTCTATAAAATGCATAACCAGTACTGCTCAAAACTTTCAAGGTCATGAAAAGCAAGAAAAAGACTGAGAAACTGTCATGGGTCAGAAGAGACTACAGAGACATGACAACCAAATGAAATGTGATATTCTTAATTGGTTCCTAGAATAGAAAAAAGATATTAATGGAAAAACTGTTGAAACCTGAAAAAAGTGTAGGGTTTGGTTAATACTAATGTTGATATCTTAGTCTTTATGTGTACCATAGTAATATAATAACATTAGGGGAAGCTGAAACTGGATGCGGCACATATAGGAATGCTCTGTACCATATTTGCAAATTTTCTGTAAATCTCAAATTATTCCAAAATAAAAAAATCTATTTAAAAAACCCAAATCAAACTTCTAGAGATGGAAACTGCAATGTTGGAAACAAAAAAACTATACAAAATGGGATAAAAATAGATTAGACATTTTAGAAGAAAAGATTAGTGAATGTAGAAACACAGAAATAGGCTATACAAAAAGATATAAAGAGAGAAAAAAAAGACAGAAAAAATTGGACAGAACATAATGAGCTGTAGGATAACTTCAAGTGGACTAATATACATGTAATTAGAGTCCTAAAGGAGGAAGGGGTAAAAAAATACTTGAAGAGATAACAGCCATAAGTTTTCCAAATTTGATGAGAACTTTAGGCCCACAAACCTAAGAAGATCAATGAACCCAAGCACAAGAAAAGTGAGGAAAACTACAGCAGGGCATATTATAATCAAATTGCTAAAGTTGGTGATAAATAAAAAGTCTGAAGACACCAAAAGAGGAAAGGGCGCATACAGGAACAAAGGTAAGAATTATAGCACACTTTCCATCAGAAACAATGCAAGCCAGAAGATAGTGGAGCAAAACACTTAAGGTACAGAAAGAAAAAAAATTGTCAACTTATAATATGAAAATATATTTCAAATACAAATGTGACAATAGGGAAAGAATAGTCTTTTCAATAAATGGTGCAGGGACAACTGGATATCCACATGCAAAAAAAGATTGAAGAGAGATGCTTACTTCACGCCGTATACAAAAACAAACTCAAAATGGGTCAAAGACCTAAATACAATAGCTAAAACTATAAAATTCTTGAAAGAAAACAGAGAGATAAATCTTCATGAATTTGGATTTGGCAGTGGTTTCTTAGCACAAGCAACCAAAGAAAAAATAGATAAGTTGGACTTAATCAAAATATAAAACTTTTGTGCATCAAAGGACACTACAAGAAAGTGAAAAGACAATCCACAGAATGGCAGAAAATATTTGCAAATAATATATCTGATAAGGGTCTAGTGTCTAGAATATATAAAGATTCTCTTACCACTCAACAACAAAAAGACAATCCAAATAAAAAATGGGCAAAGGACTTGAATAGACTTTTCTCCGAAGAAGATATACACCTGGCCAAAAAAACACATGAAAAGATGCTCAACATCATTTGTCATTAGGGAAATGCAAGTCAAAATCACAATGACATACCACCTCACACTTACCAGGATGGATATAATTAAAAAGTTTTAAAAATAAAAATACAAGTGTTGATGAGAATCTGGAGAAGTTGGAACCCTCACTTCATACATTGCTGGAGGAAACGTAAAATTGTGCAGTCACTGGAAAACAGTCTGGTGGTTCCTCAATAAGTTAGACAATTACTACAGGATCCAGCAATTCCATTCATAGGCATATACCTGAGAGAATTAAAAACATGTATTCACACAAAAACTTGTACTAATTTGTACACTATTCATAATAGTCAAAATGGACATTTGTGGAAACAACCCAAATGTCCGTCAATGAATGGAGGAATGGCGGAACAAAATATAGAAATCAATGCAATGGAATATTGTCTGGCCCTAAAAAGGAATGAAGTACTGATACATGATATAATATGGATAAATCTTGAAAACATTCTGCTAAGTGAAAGAAGCCAGACACAAAGGCCACATATTGCATGATTCCATTTATATGAAACTTCCATGATAGGCAAACCCCTAGAGACAGAAAGTTGATTAGTAGGGTCCAGGGACTAGGAGTAGAGAGAGAATTGGGAGTGACTGCTTAGTAGATACAAGGTGTCCTTTTTGGAGTGAAGAAAATGTTTTGGAACTAGATGGTGGTGATGGCTGCACAACACTGTGAATGTACTAAATGCCACTGAAATGCACACTTTAAAATGGTGAATTTTACAATAAAAAATCAATTACCATAAAAGTCTGTTCTTTCATTCATCTACCAAACATTTATTGAGCAGTTTCTGGCAAGCTTTATTTATCTGGATGTAGGGAATGTAAAGAATCATCAGATGTGGTCTTGACTTGTGAGGAGTTCATGGGGTGGTAGGGGAGGAAAAACATTCTGCAAATAATTCGGTTCAGTTAAATGTTATAGTTCCCTTGATATAAGAATGTGCATTGTACACTGGGGTGGCTGCAATGGCAAGGCTGAGTCTTGAGTGGTGAGTAAGAGATTGCCAGGTGGATGGCAGCAGGAAGAGATTCCAGGCAGAGGGTGTGACCTGAACCAGCTCAAAAAACTGGTGTCAAAAAGCTTCCAGCTTTCAGCAAACTCCAAACCAAATAACACATGTGCAGCTGTGCAGAGGATGGACTTCAGGACAGTGAGGTGACAAGTAGGTGATCACCCACCTTTGTCTGGCTGTAGTAAGTGACACTAAGAAATGGTAGGGGAATGGCATGGACCTGACTGGATGTGAAGATCAAAGAAAGTGTGACTCCAAGATTGGGCCACTTTGATGGATGGTGTGGATGCTGCGGGTCCCTAAGGTGGGTCCACAGGACATTCTGTTCTCAAGGGATATCAAACTAGAATGTACATCCCCCACTTCTTATGTATTCTTCTATTTTTAATATATAGACAATTTTTGCATTTGAAAGCTACTTCCCTTTTTCTTGGGCTTCCTGTTTTCCTGTTTGAAGTGTATGTTGCTATGGGAATGTCATGGCACAGTAAAGTGGCATTTACAAGTGAGGTGTAAGGAATTTTCAGAACATCTAAAAACACAAGTCGAGGGTTTAAGAATATAATCCCTAATGATGTGATACCGTTCATGCCTTCAGACAGTGTTATAATTATAAACACACCCGGAAATTTTAGACAGCATACAGGAGATAGTTGAGAACTTGATTCGATTTATGTACCCAGGTTTTTAAAAGGTATATGAGACATATTAAAAACACAAAACGTAACACACTACTTGGGAAGAACATCTGGAAAAAATGAACGACAGAATGCCAACATTTACTTATGAATACACACCCCTGGAAGAAGGACCAGGGGACCTGGACACCCCAGGAAAATTTGGAGAAGCCTTTGTTGCACTTACTGTGCCATAAATATGTTCCCTAAAAACTGCATATAAATCAACTGTTGGTAAATCACATTTATCAAATGTAAGGGCGGCCACTATTTTAAAGATATCTTAAGAATGTACACTTTGGTAGGGGAAATTATTACCAATGGAGTAATGGAAAAAACTCACTGGACTGAGTGAAATTCAAGGTCCTTCGTTATTATCCTGGCTCTGCCACCAACTAGATGTGTGATTCAAGACAAGTCACTCAACCTCCCTGGGCCAATTTCCTCATCTAATCTGGGTTGTAACTCTGAATTTTCACTTATTAGTTTCCTAAAGCAATGTACAGGGGTACTGGCCCACAGCCTAATGTCCAGTTTGTTCTGGGTGGTAAAACTGCACACCGAATCCTTGTGGACAGAGCTCAGGGTCCTTTTACATTAGAGGAGCTTAGCTTGGTACAGGCAGCAGGCCAGTTACCATTGCTCTGTGCTTTGCATCTTCATTACCCACTTTCTTATTCCCACAATCACCCAAAGTGTGATCATTCCAATATATTGTTCCAAATTCTTTATAAAAGCTTGTACTTTCGAGTTTTCTGCTGGGAAAGATGGGCAGTCTAAGGTAGGAGGACACTCTCAGTGGTTTTGCCATCTCTGGCCCTGTCCCTACCCCACAAGGGTGGGCACTGCCTAAGGGTTAAGGGCTGTACCTTCTAGTACTGCCTAGTACAGCCCCAGGCCCAGAAAAGGAATTCAGTAAATTGACTATTCATTGGATGTTTCTGAAGGAGGAAGCTGAGGTAGCAAGAGATGGGTCTGGTGAAATACCTGAACCTTAGAGCTGGACTTTGAGCTGCTTCTTTAAACATTTGGGAGCTTTCCAAATTTTCTACAATGGGCAGAAATATGAACATACCACAAGCATTAAAGTCTCCTTTTCCTGGCTTTTTGTCAATGTGCTTGTCTCACATACATAATGCAAACTTTGCCCAGTTCTCCAATGTTTGGAACAGGACAGAGGGCACACATCTCTTCTTTAAGAGAAACAGCAGTTACAGTCTCCTAGTCTGTTTTGCTTAAACAGCAATGGCACTATGCATTTGTCTATGTGGACCTAACACCTGCCATCTAGCCCCAGGCAAGGACCCCTGCCAAATAGCTTCAGAAAAGGCCATTTACCAAGTGTTTAGGCGCCACCTTGACTAATCTGCCATACAGGAAGTACAAAACACAACTGCAAGAATTCTTTTGCTTCTTAAGCAAAAACAGGTTTAGGCTTTATTAACTGGCAAGAGATAGAAGGCAATGGGTCAGACTTTTTGCTGATTACTACCATCTTGTAGAGTAATTCAGGAGCTGTTAGGAAGACCAAAGAAGCAAAAGAAATCACTACCGAGTATTACACACCAGGTCTTGCGCTGGGCACCTCATATATATTATTTACTGTAAGCCTCACATCTAATATCATTATTTAACACACTATGTTTTTACTCATTTATGTTATTGCTTGTCTGTCTCCCCCACTTAAATGTATGCTCATGAGAAGGAATATTTTTTGTCGTTTATTGTTACATCCTCAGTGTCTAGAACATTGTCAGATACATATAAGCACCCAATACATATTAGTTGAATGAACAAAATAAACTCCATGAGATAGGTGTTATTATTCTCCTTTTACAGGTGAGTAAACTAGTGTTCCAAGTGAATGAACTGCCCAATCACAATGGCTTTTTAAGGAGAAGAACTAAAACCCAAGTTGCTCTCTTTTGTTCTATGACCAAGAGACTTAGACTTAAATCTTGAACTCTTCCAGCTGGACACATCTATAGTCTATAAGCCTATAAAACCTGTATTTACCTTGTGTACCCATTTGAAAGTTTGAAATTTCACTGAGGAGATATAACTGGCGTTTTAATGATAAACATTTTGTTAACACAACAATGAAGGACACATTTTCCCAGCATCACAATAATTTCATCTATTGAAAGGCATTATCTACATCATTTCTCATTTTAAAATCCCATAACATGATTACTCTTCAGACATAAAAATAAAAAACACAGCAACTCTGGACACCCACGAAATAACGTGCAAATCTTAGAGTTTTGTAAGTTCCAACATTAAGATGACTAATGATATGCGTGTGGCATTCTCAGCGAGGAATACCAAATATTCCAGTGTACATCGTGTTGTCTGAGTATGCTAGTATGGGAGGAGGTAGACTTGGCACATCGAAAGCTGTTCCTATCCTAAAGAAATTATATGGGAGACTCAAGGATTCTTCAGTGAGTCAGCTGTAACAAATTCCATCGTAGGAATATCCACTTTGTATGAGAGAATGTAAGAATGATATCCAAAGGAGGTTAATTTTACCCAGGTGAGTATTTCATATCCTTCTCCATTTGTCAGAATATACTTGATCCCTACATGCTCCTTTGCCTACCTAGCACTACATAACAGGCATATGCCACGTGGTGTCTTCTCGTACCACTTTTGTTTTCTGTAGAGATCCCGGTCATATCCCCTTCTCTGGGGAAGGCCCTTTCCCCTTCTGTCCCTGCAAACAGCACAACAGCATACAGTCTGCATGTCAACTTGGCCAGTTAATTGTTCATGGCCCAAACTAGTGATTTGGCATCACTCTCTCCATTGCCAACTTTTGGCGCTAGTATTTTATTCTGATAATAAATGTAATGATATTTTGGAAATAGTTTTTAAAACAAACAGGAAAAATTTTAAAATACTCATACTCCAACCACCCACAGCATATCCTTTCTAGTCATTTAGAAATCATTTTCGGATTTATATATACAATTTTGTATATTATTCTTTTCACTTAAGGTTATAAACATTTTGCCATGCTGTGTTAACTCTTCATAAACATTAATTATAACGACTGTGTAATAGTCGATTGTATAGTCACTCTGTAATTTATTTGACCAATTTTCTACTGTTGGGCTTCTGGATTATTAAGCACAAATTCCACTCACATTTTAGACTATTTCTTTAGGACAGATTCCCAGAAGTGGAATTAGAGGATCAGAAGATATAAACATTTTTTTAAAGCTCCTGACAGATACTGCCAAATTGCTTCTCAGAAAGCTGTTGCCAATTTACACTTCCAACATTGCAAGCGTGTTTTTCTACCAACACAGATCTGTCTAAAGGATAATAAAATTTAAGTGGAACATACAGAGGCCTATGGCAAAGGTCATACCTATTTCCAGGTATGCAATTAACAATGAATTAGTGTGAGCTCATGGAACAGAAGTTTTGCGAAAGTGGAGTAATATAACTAGATTTCAGACTGTCAGATCTAGGGCCTGTGTCTGTTTTGTACATTGTTGTACCCCAGCACACAGGACAGTGCCTGGCACATACAGCCACTCAATAAAAATGTGTTGAATTAACACAGAATCTTCTTTCAGATGGTTTTTTCAGCAGCTGTAGGATTTAGTCACTCCTGGATTCCAGGGAAACATAACTGGATGGATTAAACACCCTTATGAAGGTGTGTTCAATGCTGGGATTCTATTGCAACTTTGGAAAATCGGTTTAAATGAAGGTGACACAATATGACTCTCTTTAGGGGAAAAACAAACATACCTAAAGGGACATACCTCGGTACCAGCTGCAAAAAACAAAAACATACATATATATGTTTTCACACACATGCAAAAAATATAATTCAGTGAGTTTTGTCTCCTCCATAGTAGTCACTTTTGTAGGTGATAAACTTATTCAAATGTTGTCAAGGCTATTTTGGAACTAACTTCAGTTCATTCTTTTATCACTGGTTGTAACTTTGTATCATTTGTAATATTGCCAAAATTGTTTTTGAGATATTACAAGGACAAATATAGATAGTAGTTTGTATATCATTTTGGGTCAAAAACAACACTAAACTTATTTTGTGAACTGGAACAGGGTCAAAGTAAAATAGTCAATCATTCAGCTCTAGTTCACTCTCCTGGCACCATAAATATTCCCTTCAATATTCCACAATTTCTATCTATAGAATAAATTGTCAGACACTGCCAGGCCAATTTGGCATTAACAATTTATTGATGGAAAGTGATCAATCATGTGTCATTTTATATACACACACGATAAACACTAGACCAGGGGTCGACAAACTATGGTCCGTGGGCCAAAATCTGTTTTTCTACAGTGTGCAAGCTAAGAGGTGTAAAAATAGTTTTTTACATTTTTAAATGGTTGAAAAAAATGAAAATTTATTTTGACCTGTGAAAATTATATAAAATTCAAATTCCAGTATCCATAAATAAAGTTTTTCTTAGGACACAACCATGTTCATCTGTTTCTATATTGGCCATGTCTGCTTTCACAATAAAATGTTGAGTAGTTATAACAGAGACTGTATGGATCACAAATTCTAAGACATTTCCTTTCTGACCCCTTCACTAGACCCAAGTGGGTGCTTGGAGGTACTGAAGTTTCCTATTACAGATTTTTTGTTTTTGAATATCAATACTGGGAGAAGTGTGATGCAACTGGGACAGTGTTTGCAAGGATCTAATAAGGCAGAGATTACAGAAGATAAATACATGAGGGTTGCCTCAGATAGGATGTAAAAGCCTGGTAAAATCTGAGCGGTCTGACCCAACTAAGAAGCAGTAAAACACAGGGTTTACATACATAGTTCCAGCAGCAAAGGAAGCTCTTACTAACTGAGCCCATGAGACCCTGGTGAGATGCAATCCCAAGGAGCCTAGTGAGACTTGTTGCCAATGATGTCTGCAAACAGCACGCCGGTTGAACAGTGTTACTGTCATACAGACAGTTCCCTAATACTACCCGACTTCTTTACTAGATACCTTCAACATCGCTTAGCATCCAGATTTATCTGTGCATCTCCAATGGCAAGTATGAATTCTGACTATGAAATGGATCTGAAAAGAAGGCTCTAGAAAGCAGGCCCCAGGTACACATTCTTCCCAAACAATAACCTTTCAATAAGGATTCAGAGCGGGGGGCAGAATTCAGAAGACTGCTGAACTATCTACAGGTTTTTCAGAATGCAAGATTGGTGAACATTGTATTCTTTCTGTTTTTGATCATTACCAGTGGGACACGTGGAATGAAGTAGGGTAGGGTAATGCGTGGAGGAAAAAATTAGATAAGATCAATGATGGGAGGTTGAGCCCTGGAAGGCGTCTATCCCGCGGGATTTTCAGCTGTGGCATAAGACATTCCATGTGCATTTTGAACCAGGATGGAGATGGGCAGGGAGATCAGCCTGAAAGCCAAAGAGATTCAGTAACTGACTGTTCTGAGCTCAAGAATTATAGTCAAGGTTTGCAGATAGCCAGCTCTCCTCCCAGCATCTTACAGACTGCCAGGCTTCATCTCCTACGATCAGGTGGAGCTTCTCTTGTCAGGGAAAATGCAGTTGCTGGGAGAATGGGATTTGGAATGTTACATCTCTGAAAAACTTTTATGACTCCTGAGTACCAGAGAAGTAACCAAATTGCCTCCTTAAGAAAATGGGGTAACGCTGTTTGCTCCTGGGGAGTGGAACCCCTGGTGGCTAAGGGTGGGAGAGAGACTTTTTTTCCTTCTCTGTAGGTCTCTTATCAAAAACAAGAACACATTCCCCCTTGTTGCTCACCTCACTGCCTGAGGATAGGACGGCAACCTAGGGCCAGGGTTAGAACAGACAGTTTCCTATAGGGCTGAAGTAGGAGCTAGAGGAGGGATCCAAAAATCAGAGGAGAGGTGCGAGCTGAGTGAAAAACCATGACCAAAAGGTCAGTTCAAGATCAGTACACCAAAGTGACCAAAAGTGGCTACTGGAGGGAGGTGTGTTCCAGAACCAGAAAACAAAGCACTAGGGAAACAAGAGCAAGAGCAAACTGGTGGAGAATAAACTGAGGTGTCTGAGAAAAGCCAAGGATGACAGGCTAGGACAAGATGATGGGTGGACCCGTGAGAACATAGGATCAGGAGTGCAAGGGCCCTGGGCAGCAAGGTGCAGACCAAGGTAAAATTCACGTCAGCAATAAAACCGATTTGATGAGTAGGCACGTAAGGGGGACTATTATACAAGAACTCTCCCATCTGGGGGTACTCCCAGATCATGCTCTAGACGGGTTTAGTGATTGAGCAGCCACATGTGAATGGTTTGGTCTCGATGAGGGTTATGGCAGTAATTTTACTTCCTCCAAATCTGGGGCATATTAGAGTTATCATCTCTCATTGAATATTTTCTGGGAAACCTTGCAAATGGGCAATGGGTTTAACCTGACTTCTCTTCAGCAAATAATCTAAGGTAATAGATTAAGTCCTTTGCATTATAGCTACTTGGAACAGTTTGCACTCACACTCTTGGTTATCTGCTTCTGGATGCTGCGTCTAAACCCTGTCTGGGCTGGCACTGCTCCTGGTACCCTACACTCCAGCATGGTCTTGGAAGGGTCACTCTAGCTCTGTGCACAGAACATGAATAAGTCCAGAAATAAGTTCTCTCAGGATCTCTGCATTATAATTGGTTGGCGATAATGCCTATAGGTTGTTGTGGGATCCTGGCCCTGGCCCAGGAGCATACAATTCTGCAACAATTACCACTGGACTTGAACAAAGATTAATATGAGGTTCAGCCACAAAGCTGCAATAGCTAGCCTTTGTTCTAGAGTGCAGTGGGGAGTGCTTCTGGGGAACACAGGGCATCATCTGACGTAGGAAGATGTAATGGTCCTGAAATGGAGTGTCTTGAAATGGCTATGTAGGTAGAAGTCTTTAAGCTGTTGCTTTGGGCTTTCTTGCACAATGTCTTTTATTTGTGGGATAAGGTCTAGGTTTTGGGGTGCCTCAAAATTGACAGGTGTTAGTGGGGAAATTGTAATTTTTTGAAGGAGATACAGTGAAAGAACAGAACTAAAATAACTGTTGAATTAAGTTTTGGGCCTCTACTATCAACCAATGCTGTTTACCAACTTATTAAATAATAGAAGCTGCTAAGTGTAAAAATCCTTTGGTGAAACAGACATTGGCCAATCCCATGAAATGCTATTACTAACCATGCCCCTCCCTGCACCTCCACCAGGCATTCTGAGATGTTCCCAGTCTATTGAACTTATAGAGACTGCTTTGGGGCACAGTGGGGAGAGGGGTGTTGACGGGAAATTTAGACAAATAAGTGAGTTATTATAAACTTATCCACAGACTCAGGGGAAGCAATTTATAAACAACTGGCATAGAATTGGGGGCAGAGGAAAGAAAGCCAATTATTCCAAATTGTTATTTTCTGCAACACCACTATCTTTATCTTTAGACTTTGCTAATTCAGCCAAAAGTGTCATCAGTTTCCTACAAACTCAGGTTTGCAGCCTCATGTTGTTCCACCTGCCTGGGACGCTTTCCCTAATTTCCTAACCCCTTGTCTCATCTTTCCTCATAGATCCAGTTCAAGAGCCACCTCACCCATGAAGTCCACCCAGCCCTTGGTGATCTTGTCTCATAACTTCACACCGTCAATGCGCATCAGTGTTCTAAAAACTGCAGGTGCACAAAAAGCACTTGACAATGTTGGCCTTAGTTATTAAAAACAGGCGCTGTGTGAGAATCAGCACTTAGGCAGCAGACTCCCTTAATGCAGGGTCTAGAATGTCACCTGGTCATCCTACCCACACATCACATCCTGAGCCAGAGTCCCCTGGTTTATATTTTCTAGGACCAGATCCTCCTCTTCCAGCAGAGGGGATACGCAAATGAGTGGGAGGTCCAAAGCACAGGACTAGAATGCAATAAATCCAGGTCTTTTCTGAGGGATAGGTCTGTGAGCTCAGTATAAATGGCCAACCCAAGTTCGAAGGGGCTCCCACTGAATCATGTGTACTGAATTGGCCCTTGGCATTGCTCACTATCAGCATTCCACTGCCTTCTGTACCATACCTCAGGCCCTGAGTGTGAAGCAGGCGGGAACTGGAGGCCTTCCCTTGGGGTCCTCCCAGAAGAGTATGCCTCCCTGGGCACAGAGATATAGACTCCAGGAGATCCCGTTCCCACCTCTCACTGGTATGGTCCCCTGAGGCAGAATGTTGAGAACAAAGCAACAGGACAGCCACAACAAAATGTCAGGGTAGTGAAGAGATCCAAACTTGTTAAGCGAAAGAAATCAAGAACAAGCAAGAACCAGAAGTCAACAGCCAAAACTTCTTCAAAGTTGTGGAGAACAGCAAGGGAGATGGCCCAACAGTCCAGGAAAGAATAACTAGGAGAGCCATGATATGGAGGGAGTGGTGGTAGAGAAGACTGAAAATAGATGTGCAGCAAATGAAGGTGCCTAACAGTGAAGCAGCTTTCTAGCTCAGGTCCAGCTACCTCACAGTCCTTTCACCAGGGTGTGAACCAGTCCTGAGCTGCCCTGGTGGGAAGGCTTGTTGAAGATGATGCCTGCAGAAGCTGCCCAGCAGGACAGTGGATTCTGGGATGGGGTACAGGCAGAGGCATTTCCCCACCAGCTTCACAATGGAGATGACTCCATGTTTCAGAACTTATCTTTTTCTTCACACACAAGCTATTTTTCCTAGTTTCTTTTGAAAGATCAGAACGAAAGTCAAGTTTTTGAGGTTTAGGGTCATCCTTCAAAACACCCGATGTAATTTTTGCAGAAACCTTCCTCATGTTCAAGTTTTCTTTCAGAATGAGTCTAACCGTTTCTTTATCTAAATTTAACTCTTCAGCCATCATCCTCACTGTTAACTGCCTGTTTGAACAAACTAAGTCCTTGACCTTCTGGATATTTTCATCTGTCCGGTGGGTAACTGGCCGACCACTTCTGGCATCATCCCGAACATCCTCCCTCCCTTCTTTAAACCTTTTGTGCCAATCAAAAACTCTGGCCCTCGACATGACTTCATCCCCATAAGCTTCTTTTAAAAGATGGTGGGTCTCACTTGCGGACTTGTTCAATTTCACACAAAATTTGATACTAATCCTTTGTTCTAGATAGCGGTCACTCATTCTGGCACTTAACACAGGAACGTTAACAGGCCACGATTGTGAGGGGAAAGGAAGAGGGACCAATCTCTATAGGGCTGCAGGTAGAATCTTGTCGCTATTCTTGCTCCTTTGGAAGCCTCACCAGGAAAGAGTAACTGCTTTCCTGAATTTTCGCCCCTCAGCTTCCAGTTGAGGCTGGGGAGGCCCGTTCAGAGGAGCTAATGGGGCAAAAGAGTAGCTGCAAAGCTGAGGAAAACGCAATCTCCTACAACCCACGTCTGCGTCTAACTCGTGCCCGCAGGTCTGCCGGGAGTGTACAAATCAGTCACCAAGGTCGTCCCGATTCCGCGGCCTTTAAAAAGTCTACGGCGATTTCTGCAATGGAGGCTTAAGTGGTGGTATCTTAAGCAAGCAAAGAGAGATGTACCAGTGATGTAACGTGCAGGCTCGTCACAGATCTGCTAAAACGCTCGCACGCCAAACCTACCGGAGCAGCCAGTACTCGCCTGCTTTAGAGTCCCGGGAGACACGCCCACATGCGCAATTTCCTCCCCTCGCGGACTAGGTCTGCGCAGGCGCACTGTGGCAGCCCGCGCCAGGTCCCGCCTCCACCTCGCCACACCCGGGCAAGCGCGCTTCCGTGCGCGTGCTTGCCTGCGGAGAAGTCGGCGGAAAGGAAGAGGCGGGGGAGGAAGGCTGAGGGAAGAGAGGGCACCCCCGGGCGCCAGGGTGCATTGTGGGAAGGAGGCGGCAGCGTCCCGGGCGGGCGGGAGGTGCACCAGCGGCGGCGGCGGCGGTAAATCCTCCCGGCCGCTCACAGCACTGTGGAGCCGCGTCCCCAGCTCGGCCTCGGACCGCGGCGCCCCTCCTGCCCCTCGCGGCTTCTCGCCCGCCCGCCCCTCCCCCCGGCGCGCCGGCCCTGCCGAGCCGGCAGGCCGGCCTGGCTCCCCTCCCCGGCCCCGACGGGCGGGCGGGCTGCCCTGAGGAGGCGGGGAGGGGAGTGCTGGGCCGGCCCGCGGGCGGGCTACAATGCCGAACTTTTGCGCTGCCCCCAACTGCACGCGGAAGAGCACGCAGTCGGACCTGGCCTTCTTCAGGTTCCCGCGGGATCCAGCCAGGTAAGCGGCGGGTGCGGAGCTGGCAGCCCCGGCCCACCTGCGCGGTGCGCGCTGCCAACCACCCTCCCCGGGCAGGCTCCGGTCTAAGAGGGGTGTGTGTTGGCGGACGTGGGGGGACACAGTTGTTGACCCCAGCCTCAGATTGGGGAGGAGAACGGACCGCGAGCAGTGGGCGCGCGGGCACCCGGGGACTTTGGAGCACGTGCGCTGATGAGGGTGCGGCGCCTAGGACACCACTCGAAATAGGAGGCAGCCGAGGGGCGGGCAGGCGGGATAAGGTGGGTTCTCGCCCTGTTTAACTTGCTGTGTGACTTCAGGCAAGTCGCTTTCTTCTCTGGGCTTGAGTTTCCTGAGCTGTCAAAAGAGGGACTTGGAGTTTATGGCTGTGGTCACCGGGGTCCTTCCCTCTCCTTGCCACCACCCCCGGAACATTTTCTTTTTGGAGTCCTTTTGATTTTGGGGCACCTTTTTTGATTTCAAGTCAAGCCACAATTACTCCCTCCTTCGGACTTGTTCATGGTTCAAATTCTGGCTGTGACCGTTACTCGTTATCTCACTTGGTTATTTGTGGGGATAACGAGTTGTAGTGGGGGGGGAGAATGCGTTAGGGCACGGGAATTGGTATAGAAACCTCTTCCTTGAGGTAAGGTACACTCTCTGACTTATATTTAGAGAGTGATGGTGTGGGGACTGTGTTTGAAACAAAGCTGAGGATTTTTCCTTGGCCTCTCGTTGATTCATTCATTTCACATCAACATCCACTATACGTTAAGGGCTGGAAATTGAGAGATGAATGAAGCAGTGTTGCTGCCTGCAGAAAGCTCACAGTCCATTAAAGAGACAGATACGAGCAGGCGATTATAATAAAACATGCTATTTGTTAGTTCCACAGGTATTTATTGAAGGCCTACTATGTGCTAAACAGGCATTGTTTTGAGCACTGGGAGTGTACAGATGAACACTTCAAAGTCCCTGCTGTCATGGAGTTTACATTCGGGGGGGGGGGAATAGACAAGTAAATATACAGTGCGTCAGGTGGTGATAAATATTATGGGGAAAAAAGCAGATGTTAGGGTAGGGGAATAGAGAATAGCAGGGAAAACACAATTGTTATTTTAAACAAGGTGATCAGAAAAGGCCTCACTAAGGTGAATTTGAGCAAAGACCAGTGGTAGGTGAGGGGGCCAGCCAAGGAGATAACTAGGGGAAGAGCGTTCCAATCTGTGGAAACATTAAATACAAAGGCAGGGCATGCTTGTTAGAGGTACAACCAGAAATCCATGGACTGCTGGTTTAAGGAAGAAGGGAGAGATAAGAGATGAGACCAGAAAGAGAGGGAGTGAGTTAGGGGCAAATTGTGTAAGACATTGTAGGTCATAGAAAGCACTTTGGTCATTTATTCTGAGTGAGATAGGAAGTCATCAAAGGGTATAGAGTAGAGAGACATACTTTAAACAGAACCACTGGCTGCTTGTTAAATAGATTGTAGGGAAGCAGAGGTGAGAGCAGGAAGACTAGTGAGAAGCCATTGCAAAAATTCAGGTAATAGAAGAGGAGGTGGTAAGTTGCATTTGAGATGTGTTTTGAAGGTGAAGCCAACAGGATTTTTTAGTGGTTTAGATGGAGGTTCTAAGAGAAAAAGAGAAATCAAGAATGACTAAGATTTTTAATCTTAGCTTTTACTGAGCTGTGGAAGACCGGGAGGACCAGGTTTGGTGGAGAAATATTAAAGGTTTGGTTTGGGACATGTGACGTTTGAGAGGCCTGATAGGCGTTAAAGAATAGATGCCTTCATACCATATCCAGAAATGAACTCAAAATGGCCCATATGTAGATCAATGGCCTAAATATTTAAAAAGTAAAACCATAAAAAGATACACAAGTCTGTGATTTAGAGACCTCCAGACTGGAGGTTGTAAATACAGGTGTTCTCAGTTTATAGAGGGTATTTAAAGCCATGATATCAGGTAAATAATGCAGAGTAGTGTAAGTCTGAGGATTAAGCCCTAGTGTAGGTTCAGGGAAATAAGGGAGGAACTAGCTCAGGAGAGTGAGGAATGGCTTTTGGGTTCTGTGGGAGCAGAGAAGAGTAGGAACATCTTGGGCCGGCAGAGTGGCGCGATGGTTAAGAACTGGCTTGGGATGCCAGAGGGTCCCGGTTCGGATCCCACATATGAGGGCCAGTGACACTGCCCTCCACAGCTAAGATGCTGAACAACAGCTCAACCTGGAGCTGGGCTGCTGTGAGTCACTGGCGACGGCATAGGCTGCAGCCCCTGCTGCAGTGGGTTGCCATGGGCTACCGTATGTAGCCAGCAGCCAGAGTGAGCGGCCGTCCAGAAGCCGGCGACTGATCTGCCTCACCCAGGAAGAGCGCAATGATGGTGCCAACTTGGGCCAGTGAAGCGACATCCTCCACAACTAGACTGAAGAACAAAAGGACAGCAGCTTGTCTGTTCCACTTCCCCCAAGTCCCCAGCACTGTTCCCATCCCCCCAATTCCCCAATAAAAATCTTAAAAAAAAAAAAAGAGTAGGAACATCTTAATCTGGTTGGGCTTTAACCTAGTAGGCATTATCTTCATTTTAGTCAAATTTTAGCCCATGGGCATTCTTGGAAGTATATTTCCTTGCCTGATGAGGGCACCACTAGTCAGATGTGGACCAGAGGTCATTTGTGTCCATACATAGTGAATGCGGTTTTCATTACCTTCCCTAACAGGGAGTGTGGCCTATGGGGGCTTACAGTCTCATATTTGGAAGTTTTTAGATCTAGTACAATATACCTTGAAATGCTGGAATTCCCTTAATAGTAGTGGCTTTTTAACCTTTTTTGGGGTCACTGTTCCCTTTCAGAAGCTAACATAAGGACTCTTACTTGAGAAAAGACATAGACACACTTTTGCATTCCACGATTCAAGGTATTTATGAACCCTTTAATGGGCCGTATGCATCCTGACAGGTAGGTTTTTGCTAAAAAATCTCCAGTGACAGTTCTCTGTTCTGTGAGCAGACACATGAAGATTCTGGATAGCTTTGGCTGTTGGTTCTTCCTTGTTTTGAGTGGAAATGTGCCTCCCTATAATTTATGCTTTGGAGGCCTTAGTTTTGTCCCCAGGGTCACACTGAGCAAATCTGTGCCCTTTTCTTTGTAATCCCTTTGAGTATTTCAAGACCAAATTATGAACTTGTCTTAACTTTTTAAAACATCTTTATTGAGATATAATTCACATACCATACTGTTCACCTATTTAAAAATGTAAAATTCAATAGTTTTTGGCATATTACATTATTTTTTGCAATTTTGGTAAAATATATATGTATGACATAAAATTTGCCATTTTAACCGTTTTTTTAGTGTATGAATCAGTGGCATTAATTACATTCACAATGTTGTGTAACCATCACCACTATATATTTCCGAAGCTTTTTCATTACCCCAAGCAAAAACTCTGTAACCATTAAGCAATAACTACCCCCACCCCTTCTAATCTACTTATGCCTGGCTTATTTTACTTATCATATTTTCATGGTCTTAACTTTTACCCAAACCAAATCTCCTCATACTATAGGATTTCAAATTCGACTGTATTTGACAGTCTTTCCACCATGCCCAGAATTAATTATAATAAAGAAGTAGCTTGCAGAGGTGTTTATTGAGTTAATAACACTATTTTTAGGGTTATTAGTTATAACCAGCTTTTTCTGTAAATGGATTTTAGGGAAGGTTGATAAAGGGTGAGATTGCTAACCTATCCTTCAAAAGCTAACTAACATTTTTTACTAACAATAAAGATAAATATATTTAATGCTATTAAGTAGTACATTTCCCATTCATCATATTCATTAATTCATGCACACTTTTAGACACAGCTATTTAGAAGTAATTTAAAATTCAAGAATGTAATTAATAAAGGGCATGATGCAGAATTTCATATCATAGTCGCTCTTATTAGCTTAGAAAAAGTGGCATTAGTATGCTTTTTCTTCCCTGCCCTCTTGTTTCTTTTCTCTTTTCTTTCAGTATAAAATAATAGAATCAACTCACCTTAGGGGAGTGGCAGGGAGATCATAGATTACCTAAAATTTAATTAAAAAGAAAAAAAAAAAGCCTGCCTAAACTTTGATTGCTCCAGAATGGCTTGACGAATGCCAAGGCTTGGCCGGAACCTGGGGGCAATTCACAGTGGCTCATCCCCAGACCTGGTGAGAACTTACAAGTAGACCTAATGAATTGCTCCTGTTGGGGTGAGTTGGGCAATTGAAGCCCTTTTCTTCCTCCTCAGGCAATTAGTACTAACTCACCCCTGAAGTGGTGAGGTCTTTCAAGATTCTTTTAGTAATTTAATAAAAGGTAATGAAAGTTGATGTCCTCTTATTTGTAAAATGTAAAACATTGGCTCTCTGGGCACTCATGAG